GCCTATGCGACAAATTAAGGCATTATAAAAATAGTTGGAGCAAAAAATGAACAAAAAATATAAAGGAAAAAATTAAAAAATTAGGCTAATGAATTTTTATGATTTGATGGGTAGTTTGAATTATTAACGAACCATATTTAATCACAGGTTTTTGCACCATTTGATATTGTCTGTAGATTAAATTTGCAATCCTTGAATGAAAATATATTTATTTACAAAGGTTAAAGTATTTAAAAAAAGCCTTATCTTATCTTTATTAAATAGCTCTAAACTTTTATTAGATTTCAGAGATTATCAGAATAAATTTGAAATTAAATTTCATTAACCTCAAGTAAATACAAAACAGCCCTGAAAAATAACTTACATTTTCAGCGTTTAATATTGAAACTGGTTTCCTTGGTATTAATTTCACTTCATTTAATTGAAATTTAATATAATCGTCTAATTTGAAACATTTTAGATAAGACACCGCGCAGCTGTATATTCATGTTTAATATTACTCAGCGTCTTAACATTCTCAGCAAAAGGCAATATCAGCAGACGACATCTAGAGCAGGTTACTTAGCAGACGACACTTACAGAAACTGTAACTAAGGGAAACAAAAATCGATAGCCATAACAACCATAACTGTATAATACATGTAGGAGTAGTTTTGAGTTATACCTAAAATAATTGAATAGTTGTCGTTTAGCGGGCGTGAAATGCTGTAAAATCTCTTCGCAGAGTGAGCCACAATGATTGAGCACCTCTGCGATTCCATCACTTTTCTCAGATATCACGTGATATAATTAAGATTGATGCACATATCATAGAAGTTAATTTGCCACACAATTCTGATAGTCAATTAGCATAATACAAATTATTCTACTCAATTTTTTGCAAGTTTGAGATAGGAGTTTTTTTATAAGAGGAGAAATTTTGTACATGCATATTATTTTTAAGTAGTTTCTGTTCATTATAAATGGAACTTATGTCAATATGAACAGTATTTATATTTGGGTCATGACTGTGAAGAATCGTTTGTAAAATTCCAGCAACAAATTTATTGAACTGCCTAATACACAAAATATACCATGGCACATGTTTGGATGAATATAATGACACACACATATTAACATGCAACAATACATTCAACATGTTGTATAATACATTTAGCTCTTGGACAATGACGCTAAGTAATACTGATTTAATAACAGAATTATTTCACGAATGCAAAAAGTCATTAACACTTCTTGACAAGCGGTATATGTTTCTTCTTTTTAATCCGATTCCTTACTTAAAAGGGTACCCTAACTCTCAACCCCTAATCTACTGGAACCTTAAGTGGTTAGCCTTTTCCAGCAGAATCGAGTCAGGTCACCCTGCACATCCGTGTTACCTTACCAGGCTTGATAGTGTTCATAATTCAAATTTCGTCAATTGATACTGAAATCTCTTACATTGTGAATTGAATGTTCCAAATCAAAACAATTGAAACTGAAATCTTAAATTTTGAAATGACTGTTCCAAATCAAAGCAGAAGAACTACATTTCATTAATTATTAAACATTTCGTTTACACTCAGCAGCATTTGTTGACAAATATGTATCATGATCGTCCTAAAAGACCAATTCTTTCCAAATATGGAAATACAATTCTCATTTACCCATTAAAGACGAAAATGATCCCCCTGTACCTAGATCAATCGTTCACAGTAAAACCTCTATTGATTCTACATTTGTTCTTTTCCAAGATATCTAATCGATATAGTCACATCACAGACAAAACTCTGTTCCACAGATTTGTCCTTTGTTTATTAAACTTATATACAAAAAGAAACATACTTAAATGCACCTACATAGCGCAAAGAGTATCATTGTTTTATAGAGTTCCATACGTAGTTCATTTCTTAAAGCTTTGAGCAACTGTAAATATTAATCTAATTATAATTTGGTATATTTCATAAATGTTTGTATGCACATTTAGCATGTTGTTGTTATCACTATACACTTACTAATATCAGCCAAAAATATCAACACACACCCAAAGCTTTTTCATAAAAAACACTTAGACTATTGTTAAAATAATGTTGCATATTGTCAATAATTAGAAATGTCTTAAATCCGAATTTAAAGGAAGGATGACAGGTTAAAAGTTTACTGTGTTTAGTCTCAAAGGCTTGCAAGTAAGCTAGAAAATTGTAACAATAACGTTGCTTGCCGGTGAGATGTGGGGAGAAAAGGCTAGGTATCTCGTGTGTTTCAAATATCTCTCATGAATAGACTCAATCTTACCCAGTCTGCGATTTACACCTCTAGATTTCGTCCTCATTGTTCTCGAGAGTTATAGTCAAAGAACTTTAAAAAAAAATATTAATCCTGTTCAAAATATATTAAATGATGATGGTCCTCCAGAAATTGTGTCAAATGTAAATGATGATATGTTCGATAAAATGGAAATATTAAATGATGCAATTACATTTGTACTAATCTGAAATGTACAACTAAAAAGGGTCCGCTTTATTGTAAATATCTTAATAACATATTTTACCATCCCTTTTTAATCATTCCGCTATACAACCTTTATTTAAGAAAAAAATCCTTAACAAATGCTCAAAATATTAGACTGATAACATTGGTGACATACCTAGAAAAACTTTTTACCGGAATTCTGAACGAAAGAGTTAAAACAATCAAGTTGATTAATAAAATACAAAATGTATTAATAACTGGCTTTCGTGAAGGGCTTTTAACTTTTGGCCTTTTTTTTCGCTTAATTTTTTTTATAGATTATCTTCAGTTAAAGAAGAAAAAAGTTTTTTTTGTTTTCTTCATAGATTTTTCTTCATCTTTCGACAAAATTTGGAGTAAGTGGGAATAACCTAATAAAATCTTGAGTACAGGCAGAACTTAGTGTATCTTTAGATGAGAAGATGCCTCCATTTGTTTCAAAGCATGTGTGGGGTTAGACAGGGAGAAATTTATCCCTCGTTTTATTCACTATGTATTATAACAATTTGAGAAACATTAACAGAACATTAACGATGGCACCAGAATTGAATAGATGACCACGGCCTTCTGATATTCTCCTTAAATTGTATTTGCTTTTGTACGCGGATGATACAATAATAGCAAGTGACGACAAAGAAACATTCAAAATTATCTTATGAATTCGAGAAATATTGCACACAATGGAAGCTGACTGTTAAAACTAGTTAAGCAAAGGTAATAGTATTTTGAACAAATAATCCGAGAAATTATAAGTTTTATTTTAAGAAAGAACAAATAGAGAGTCAATGAATATAAATATTTAGGCATATTATTTGACTCCTCTAGAGGTTTCCTTAATGCTAAAAAATGCTAGCTAGTCACGCAAATTAGGTATGAGCATTAGGAATTTCCTAGACAATGAAATTGTATACATTTTAACCATAGTAACTTTACAATATTTTTCTACTTTTGACATGTTGTCATAAAATGACCCGATGGATTTTGTCTTTTTTGAGTTGATGAAAAAAACAATAACAACAACAAATAATTATGATGATATTGATAAAAAAAACTCGAGTGCGAGTGTTATCAAACAACAACAATAATAATAATTATAGGTATTCTAGTGATAACAATTTTATATTGATATTGTTGTTGTTGATCATGTTGAAAATGCTGACGATGATTATGATGATGATAATAATAATAATAATAATTAATGATGGTGATGATGATGATGATCGTGGTGATGATGATGATGATGATAATAATAATAATGGTGATGATGATAATGATGATGATGATGATGATGATGATGATAATGATAATAATAATGATGATGATGATGATAATAATAATGATGGTGATGATGATGATGATGATGAAAAAGATTGTAATTAGTAAAAAAGGTTAAATTTGCTACAATATTATCACATGCCGACATCTTCTCGCAGAGAGTGGACATGCTTTTAATTCAAACAAGTTTGATAAAGACAATCTAGTGAAGCGTCAAATTATCGTTTGGAGGAAGTAACGAACCTCTTAACAGACTTTAAAAAATCAATTTTGAATAGAGAACCGGAGCATGCTTTTCTAATAAAGCACAATAATCGAGCATTTACACGATCAATTACTGTAAATTGTCATACTTATCAAATTAAAAAATGAAACATTAGAAATAAATTAGATTTGGTCTGAAGATTAGATGATAAATCAATTTTTACAGGCAATGATGAAATCAAGTAGATTTAATTCACTTGGTTAAACTACACTCATAAATATTCATTTTGCCAAGTCATTGTATTTACTGCGCAGGAGTTTGCATGGATCATATTTGCAGTTTGCAAACATTTTTTTTTAAAAACATATGAGCAAATTTAGTGTTTTTTGGTATTAAACAAATAAAACGGTACTAGGGGGCGTGAATTCTGTACAATTGATTAACAGATGTATTCATAGTCTGCAAAATGCTGTCAATGCTCCGTTTTTATTGGTCTCAAGAGAACTCCTTGTTTCAGAAAATATTATGACAACATTTTAATGTATTGTATTATTCAATATCAACAGTTTCCATCCAAGAAAGAAACAAGTGCCGTATTTTCTATTTTTATAGTCTTTCCATTATATATAAATATTAAGGAGTAGAAAGAAAAACACATACATAAACACCTCGTATTTCTCTGTTAGTTTGCTTGATAACAGTACTTACTCTAGATCTGTCATTATCAAAGATATTACCAAATTATATCTCTGTAATATACTTAATGTTAACTGGTCATCTTATATCTTCATATATGTTCTTAAATGCACATTTAACAGAGTCTTTAAAGATAAGATCATAAAAAAGAAAGCCATTGCTATCATAAACACTTCAAATTACACACGCTGTTGTCCTAATTCAAGAAACATTCAAGTGTATACGCACGCATGGAAATATAAAAGTTCCCCTTAAACTGTAGTTTAATTGATTGCAGCTATTGACTACAAACGAATTATTCATTATTTTAGGCATAAAGCAATGTACACCTTACCTCATAACCTGTTTTGTCCGGATCGAATTTGGCACCAATTTTGTCGAGACATAAAACGGTGAGGAACAAAGCGATAAAGCCAAGGATTATGTAGGCACTCATGAGTTTCCAAATTGTACTCGGTACATCTTTGGTAACATCTGAAAAGAAAAGTTAATATAAGTAAAGAAACAAATAAATTTATCCAAGGCTTGATTGGGATCATTTGTATTATCATGAAATGCACTGCATTGAAAATACATTGCCAAAACTGTACATTGTGTTATAATAGTAATTACAATGAAAGTTTTATATGTAATGCATCGAATTACAATTTTATTACCAAAACTGTACATTGTGTAATAATAGCAATTGCAATGCAATGAGTTTTATTTGCCATGAATTGCATTACAATTACTTAGGTAAAAAGTGCTATTCTAAATGTAGAAAACGCCGCCCTTATTAAAAAGATCGAAGGATTTGCAAATGTAATATTTTGTACTAATTTACACATCGGCATTAATTCACAAGTCATCAGCCTTTCAATAAATATTTTATTAATGTACATATATTAAATGTCAATGTTAGTAAAAGCAGTGTCAGCATTTCGCCTTGATTTTTGTCTTCTGCGTCACCTATTAAAATGCAACAGTGAAGTTTTTTTTATCAAATTGTTATAAATTGATAATTGTAATATTTTTAGTGTCACTTTTAGCTCTTTTTTATAGTTATTTCATTTTTTTGTATTATCCCCATGACTTTATAAGGTTTTGTTTAAGAAGACCAAATTTTTAACAGATTTGTTAGATTATTTGTATCATTTATAATGAAATTAAGGAAATTTGGACAAGCAATTGAACATTTGAAATTCAATAAAGTCTTCATAAAATTTTTTGATTATAATATTTGTTTCTTGTTCATAATGTTAAATATAAAAACTAGTTATATCTACAACGATATCTTTAACATCTGAATTATTCTATTAACCAGGCTTTTTTTGGTATGACAAGTTGCGATGTAACATATTTGACATAATATACAAGGAATGTCGTGTTTATTTGTTTGTTTGTTTGTTTGTTTAACATATTTTTGGTCATATCTTGTCGGTTGGTGTATCGTACTTGCTTTCCTAGAGGATTCGCAAGTGACAGACAACTAGTCATATTTTAGTACGTTACCTTGAATAAATAACTTAATCGACATAACAAGACAAATGGAAATACATGTAATAATAAAAAACGTTCGGTGTACATTAATTTCGTATCAGTCAACTTTTTTCTATTCTCTATGAAAGGATCCACACTTTTCTAAATTCCGATCTTTGCTAGTCTTCCCCTTAATATTTGGAATGTATCATGTTGTCACTTTTTGTGAACTGATGACAAATAAAGATATTTTCACTTTGACTTTGATTTACAACATTTCTGAATCAGTGATGTGAGACAATGACAAAAAAATGTATATTCGAGATCAGTTGTCACGGACACAGACGCTTGGGGGTCAGATCCTGCCCCCCCCCCCACGTGATACGCCCCTGTAAACACTCTACCAAAACCATTTTAATATTTAAACACGAATTGTACATCTGTTACAACGATAAAAATGGTTTTCAAACAATTTTAACGTATATGAAAAAAATACCGTATACCATCAAGTCTCAATAAAGTAAAGATTGCAGACTCCAAAATGTAAACACGATCACCCTTGTATAATAAAACCTTTATAAATCATTATTAAATTAACCTTACCGTGACTTTTCCGGTGTAAATCAATAGAAAATAGAATTATCTCCTAGATGCAATCAGAATAAACATTTATACATCTCATTGTAATATGAAAATCAACATTTAATTAAAAACGAAAGTAAATTTTGCGTTCTGTCCAACCAATACGAGACCTGAGCCCGGCTCTGCGTGGAGCGCTTGTCAAACCGGTATCCAAACGGTGTACATGCTTTCGAATAGATATCTACTCGAGCATTATATCCTCATGTCCAAATTCAAATATTTAAATTGTGCATTATATAGAATTAAAATAAAACTTGGGAAACAACACACTGTGCATCTTGGTAATAGTTTAATTACAAACAAGAAAAGCATTGATGCAAAGCATCAAAGGGCGTCCAAGCAAGAAATGCAGCAAGTGAAGATGAACTAGTACACATACGATGACAAGATATTCTTATAAACTACCAGAAATGTATACCACTTATGAATGAGCGGACGAAAGACATTGTTCATTATGAACTTTGATTGGCATGCTAGAGATTAGAATATTACTTGTTATTTCTTTATGATCGTGGTTATTAACAACGGATATACATGTATGCAATCATTTTTAATCCATATGTGTAACGCATGATCAACACGTACCACACATTTGTCCCTTATTATGTACATGTTATCGCTATTAGCGAAGACCCCCTTAAGGTATCTGTTCACACTTTAAGTTAGTAAAAATATGACACTGGTTATATTACCATGTTGATCATGTTGAGCATAATTGTTTATTATACAATAATTGTAATATCTATTAATTTTAATTAAAAAAAAAAATACAAATTTTATGAATATTGTTTTCTTTTATTCTTTTTTGTGTTTTATGTGCTATTTTAATACTGAGTTTTTACTACTCTTTTTTATTAAAATTGTAAAACAATTTTTAAGAATTCAATTGTCATATTGACCGACGATTATAAGTCAAAGTTTAACTGGAAAAAGTCAGTAAATTATGGTTTATCTTTCAATATATAATATTGTTTATTCTTAAACCATGTACATGTACATTGTATTTTTCTTTATCATTTTTTAAATTATCGATCAATTGAATAATTCATAAAAATCTAATTTGTAACTTTGAATAATTCCTCGGCATCTTTACTAAACACGGATAACAAATTGAATAATTAAATAAAATGTTTCAAAGTTGATAATGTCATTTTAATACCATAAAAAATGTACCTTTTTCTCAATTATTGTACATATCACGGATTTATATTACATATAAATCCGTGTACATATTTATTGTTTTTATCTCATATAGATAAAATGAAACATGCTATTGTTGTTTTTTTCTAATTGTAACGATATCAAACATCTACTCCAAAACCGGGAGAGACCGGACAATAAACGTGTGGTACTATTCGCCGGTCACTAGTAAATCCTGGTCAAAATAGACCGGGAGAGACCGGCATTTACCGATAGGAGTGATAAAAAGATATATCTATAAATAGGTTTTTGGAATATTTAGGTCATCAACTGATCATTCTAGGATACATGTACAACAATAACATACCATGACATGATAACCGACTGTGTACTACAAAATGATAAATAAAAAACCCCGAAGAGCGCGATTTATTGACGGAAAAGGTTATTTCATTTGTAAATGTTTGCATTGCGAAAATTCATTGTAACATATCGCGACATTTCATTCTTATTTAATAATCAAGCACCCTCATACCGATCGGAATTTTCGGCTTTTATTATGACCGACTAAAAGGCTCGAGAAGTTGCTGTCGCCCTTTCACAAAATCTGATCTCATTCCATAAGAGCGCCGCGCTTCGGCGCGGACGCCAATAAATGTCTTTTAAACGAGCGTTTGCAGACAGCTAATACGCGGGACACGAGGATATAATGCTCGAGTAGATATCTAGTCGAAAGCATGTACACCGTTTGGATACCGGTTTGACAAGCGCTCCACGCAGAGCCGGGCTCAGGTCTCGTATTGGTTGGACAGAACGCAAAATTTACTTTCGTTTTTAATTAAATGTTGATTTTCATATTACAATGAGATGTATAAATGTTTATTCTGATTGCATCTAGGAGATAATTCTATTTTCTATTGATTTACACCGGAAAAGTCACGGTAAGGTTAATTTAATAATGATTTATAAAGGTTTTATTATACAAGGGTGATCGTGTTTACATTTTGGAGTCTGCAATCTTTACTTTATTGAGACTTGATGGTATACGGTATTTTTTTCATATACGTTAAAATTGTTTGAAAACCATTTTTATCGTTGTAACAGATGTACAATTCGTGTTTAAATATTAAAATGGTTTTGGTAGAGTGTTTACAGGGGCGTATCACGTGGGGGGGGGCAGGATCTGACCCCCAAGCGTCTGTGGTCACGGAGAACGTCCGAGGATTGACACAGCGACCCCTCATTTACAAATCCGGTGATCTTGCTAATACTAATGTGTACGCTCTTATCAAATAAGAAACACAATATTTCACACATATAAGTTTATTAAAATCGTAATCAAATTGTGCGCTCAAGGTTTGCCAACATTTAATGTTATCTTAATAAAATGTATATTTTTCCATTAAGACAGTTGTTATGGCATTCTCTTCAAGATTTGACCTTTCAGAGAAATATCTCATTTATGATATATTGATATGCAATTTTGATATATAGTTGTCTGCAAACTGAACATTCCATTCGCATTTCACATCTAAAATGTGTTTTCTGTATATTTTATCAAGAAAATATGCAGCGAGCATACTGGTCTGATCAATATCTAGGATAGTGTCTTGTAAAAACAAATTATTTCCTTATATATAACAAGTATTACGTTTGTCTAACGATCCAGTTATACTTGTTGAGGAAGACCTCGCGTACTCATCCGTGCATTATTTCATGTATGCGCCGGTTCGTGAGTTTAACTCCCGGCGTTCCGTAATCAAGCTGGATAGCAAATCATAGAGGAACCAGATAGGAATATTTTTAATCATCCTTTGTATAGTGTTTATTTCAATGAAATAAATGGACATTTCAGCAAAATCGTTATTTCATTTTTTTCATTGAAGTAACTGAACAATTACGCTACGCTTTATTTTACATTTATTTCAATGAAGTAAATAAAAATTTAATAAAAACAATTATTTTAATTAAACAAAAAGAACTTTTCAGAAAAGTGTTGTCAATGCAATAAATTCGTTTTTCAGTGACTTCATTTCGATAAAATAAAAACTAGTAACCATTTGTAGACACTCCTAATATGTGTTGTTGTTGTTGTTTTTATTTTCAATAAAAAAAAGAACTTTTCAAGCATCCGTCTATGTATTGATTTTACTTCACTTATTTATGAATGGAGATTCCAGCCATATTTTCTATTGCCTTTATTTTGATGAAAAAATACATAAAAACCTTTGTAT